TAATGAATCACCCTGAACAACAGCTGGATAATGGAGCACTCACTGTGTGTGTGTGTGTGTGTGTGTGTGTGTGTGTTGTGTGAATGACAACAATAGCCTTTTAGCAGAACATGCTAACTAAAATGTCTCGTGATGTGTTGTTGAAGCTGAGTGTATGAGTTCTGTCACTTTCTGTTTGTTCCACCCTGCTGCTTACTCCTTCTCCATCATCATCATCATTATTATATATGTATATATATTTATACACTACACCCAGTTTCTAACATTACACACTTTAACACACTCTGTTATTGGGTTAAACACTTCCATTCAAAATGACACACGCACACATTAAAACACAGTGACTGAACACTAGTCATGGCTGTAGCTGAGAAAACATGGAGGCAGGAGCAGGAAGAGGAGGACAAGGAAGGGGACCAGGCAACCAACGTAGACATATCTCTGATGAAATTAGGGTCCTGTGGTGGACCATGCCATCAACCCTTGCCTGACAATGAGGGAGGCTGGGGATAGAGTTCAGCGTAGTCCATATGGACCTTCAGACCAGAAAAAAGGTACGTCTCTCTACACCAGACTGTACTGTACCCGGAACTGATGCCTGATCCATACAACTGTCCTCCCCATCCCTCATCACCAGTGCACCATTTGACTAATGTTTTGTTACGCTGAGTTTACAGAAACATGTTGCTTTCTGTACTGTACTTTTACTCGTGTTTGTTTTTTTCTTGTAAACAAAACTCCTGAAGCCTTTCTCTTTTTGTGAGATGTGAGTAGAAAAAGGCACAGCAGTGCGTGGAATAAAGCTTGTGCTTGTGTTTCCCTTTTGATTGCAGGAGGTGAGATGTTTCTCTCCAGGCGTCGGGTCTGAGTTCTGACACGAAGGCCCAGATTCTGCAGTTGATGGTGGAAACATCCAACATCTCCTTCATTTTAGAAACATTTCACCAAAACTCCTGCATCTTTGGACACTTTGGGATGGTTTCTGGAGTTTAAATGAAAGAGTTTGAGGGTTTACTGAAACTCTCTGCTGTTGGCAGATCAGACTGCTGAAGTAAACTGATGTGTTTCAGAGCTCGCCGGCCGTCAGGCTGCAGATCAGATGATATTTTCTTCTATAATTTGAGCTGTCAGCTGGTCTGCTGTCCACACCTCTTCCTCCTCCTCCTCCCCCTCTCCTCGCTGGGTCATTTGTCATGGAGGAAATCACCGCTCAAATCTTCCACGGCGGTAATATCTCTGTCATTCACCCCCCGCCTCCACTTCACTCGTCCTCCCCCTCTCATCTCTGTGCGATGCTATCGGAGGAGAGGAGGTGACAGTCTATCAGAGCACCTCCTCTCTGCTCCCCTGATAACACTCCACTGCTTATAATGTTAAGAAGATGATAAGAAATAATAGTCTTTCTTCCTTTCATGTAGCGGTCGTAGAGGAACTATCAGGGCCGAGGAGCCGACATCCATCACCTGCTATTTATCAGCGCTGAGTGGCCGACGGACTGCACAAAGTTTTATAACAGAAGAAGAAAAATAATAACTGAGCTGCAGAAACAATCAGCAGATAGATGGAGGAGGCGGTTATTAGATTAAAACTCCTCTGACAGTCTGCTTCAACTCCTCACATCAACAGTTTATCTGCTAAATGTGCCCAGAAAAAAGAAAGCGTGATGGAAGCAAAGATCCAGCAGCAGTTTGTAATTTCAGCAGCCGGCGTGTGATTGGTTTCCGAGATCCTGCTGGCAGTAAACCAGAAAACACTCTGAGATCAGCAGCTTTCAGACGGCTGACCAGAAGTTCAGCTGGGACCCGTCTGGATGTTCCAGCTGCTGGAAACATTCCTACCATTAGAATAATGACCAGAACACAGCAGAGCAGCAGTCAAAGACACGACCAATCACCAGAAGGTTCATTATGTTACTGACACACAGGGTCTGTTTAATGTGGATCCTGCATCAAACAAACAATCCTGGAGGTTTGATTCCAACGTCTGAGCGTTTAAACATCTCATAACATATTACAGGATGTCTGTACTGTTTGGGAACGAGAACCCATTAAAGCAGGATTTTAACTCATTTATAGAAAAACTAAATGCTCTCAGTGATGTTCACCTTCACATATTAGTGACACCATGATCTTTCACCAGGACAAACTGCACATGTTCAGACTCAGAACCATCAGTCCACTGCAGATTTCTCATTTCCATGTTGGTCAGAGGGAATTAAAACAAACCTAAATGTTTGTAGAGATGGTGATTTAGCATTTTCATGTTATTTTCATTTCATGTAATTGTCTTTTGTGAGTTTAATTACAGCAATTATAGATCTTGTAGGGGTTCCATGGTGTAATAATTAATAATTAATTTCTGACTGAATCTAGCAAACTGAGTGGAACGTGATTTTCCCCGGCGCTGCACAACGGCTGCCCACTGTTCCTAATCAGGATGGGTTAAATGCAGAGAATGAATTTCACATGCATTGTACAGTGTATTAATAAAGTTGATTATCATTTGCTTTTAATTCATAGCTGTCCACATTGGGATTTGAAAATGTTCTTGTATATTCTAAATAAACTTTCCAACATTAAACAAAAAGTATTGTGTTAATTTCATAGTATAGGCCATATAGTATAATGTTAATGTATTACTTATAGTTACTATATTCATCATAATTTCATATGTAGTTTACCACCAGAGACCAACATAGATGGTGCAAGAAGCATTGGTAATTTATTAATGATAAGTACTAACTTTTATTGTATGGAGAAGGATTACTGTAGGTTGCAGTCTGTATATCATAAATATGTTTTTTGGTTCGCATGTATCTATTTTTAGGGCAATATGTGGGTGTTTAATGTGTTCCGGGGAAATCAGGCAGTTAAGTCCATTGAACTCAAAATGTAACAGTTCAGTTAGGTTCCTTTGGGTTCTGGTGTGAGAGGGATGAGTGTGTAGGTGTGTGTGGGTGCGGTCCAGTTCAATGGGGGACAGAAGGGAAGGTCATGCCTATAGCTGGGCAGGAGGATAGAGCAGCCTGGAGATTTACAAAATTGAAGACTTAGCTTTGCCGGTCCACCAGGACGAGGAAGCTCCAAGCTGCAACCGAGCAGGTTGAAGAGCGCGTTAACATGGTTGTCCACACCTACTCAAGGGTTCAGCACAGTTTCCCACAGTCCATTGTTGCTCATTTAAGTTCATGAAGTCTGGACAGTTCTTGGTTCCACTGCTTCTCCAACTCTTCTATACGCGTCTCAGTTTCACTCCAAGGCCAGGATGCCTCAAAACTGGGTTAATTCAGCAAACTTCCTCTTTCCTTTAAACTTCTCACTCCTCTGTTCTCCTCCATGCATGAAATGTTTGTTTTCCCCTTCCCCCAGCTCACAGGTGCCTAATTTATCTCCTCCTGCTCAAACCACACCCCTAAACAAAAGCAAAAGGCCCACTCTGACACTCTCCTAACTCTCTCTGCAACAGTAGAGCAATGCATCATTCAGCCTGAACACCTCACGCTACTGTTCTTCTTCTTCTTCTTCTTCTTTTATTGCCGACTTGCCGTCACTGTTACAGCTAATGTTGTACATACTGCCACCTGCTTTACTGGAGGGGAATGTAGGAAAAATGTTAAATATGCCCAGTGTTTTTTTTAGAAAGGTTAAAAAATACGGGAGCGTCTCAGGAAAAACTTGATGGATAACAGGTATGTTTTCATTACGAACAGCTTCCACCAAAGAAGGAGAAAGACTCCTGACTCTTATTTAAATTTTGTGTTGTTGGAATGCTAATGTTAGCCACAGGTACGCTACATTAAGAAGTCACCTGGGCTGAGATCAGCCCCGACAAAATGCAGCGAACCTGTTGTGGCTCACTGCACTTCAATGCCTTTTAATAAGGCTGTGTTTATATACACACCACTGCTGATTGTGTAACTTGCTTTAACGCACCCCTGGTTGTGTTCAGAGTTGGATGATGTTTGATCAGCAGAGGTCTGTGCAGTCACCGAAGCTAATGCTAAGCTAACTGTTGATGGTTCTGCTTGTTGAACCTTAATAGCTTAATTTTTATTTCTGCTCTGGTTAAAAACAGAAGATGGGAAACTGACCGAGCTGCTGAGTAACTGATGTACCCAGTGATGTAACTGATACTGATGAGTCATATAATTGCGTTTCCCAACGAGAAATTATTAATTAACTGACGACAGTTTGCATTAGCTTATGATTTAAAAGCTCTGGCAGATACAAGAGCAGGTCACAACTAATACACTGACTGTACTGAAGAGCTTTCTGATATCACGTCAGTACTGAACGAACTGGAAGGTGTATTTTCTCTAAAAGAGGAACAAACTGCACTGACAGCTTTCATTGATAAGTTTTCATAACTTAACTGATCAGTCTGCAGGACGGGCCTGTAGACTGACGAGGGTCAATATTTAATAAACACACACTGGCAGGAGATCAGACTTTTATCTTGTGTACTAACCACTCCTGATGTGTGTGTGTGTCTTTCCTGAGGCGTACTCTCTGCCAGTAAGATGAGAGTGTGTGTGTGTGGTTCTGGTGTTTAAGAGTTACATCAGTCAGCAGCCGAATTAGCATAAAACACACAGACTGAATAATGAGTGTGTGTGAGGAGCTGTTGATTTACTCAGTGGAGTAAATGAGGAGGGAGGAGCTAACTCTGAATGATCAACCACACACACACACAGCTCTCTGTGATGACTAAACCTAACCCTGGTTCAACATCAGGATCTCTGTTCCTGATCACTAACAACTGATCAGGCTCAGCGGTCACATGATGCTGGTTATCAATCAGAATCAGCTTTATTGCCAAGTAGGTTCACACAGACAAAGGAAAGTTGGGGACGTGGGGGTCCCAGACCTTGTTGATGAGGCTACAGACGGGAGGAAATTGTTCTTGTGGCATGAGGTTCTGGTCCTGATGGAGGGGAGTGTCTGAAACAGTTAGTGTCCAGGGTGAGAGAGGTCAGCCATGACCTTTCCTGCTCACCTCAGAGTCCTGGAGGCATACAGGTCCTGGAGGAGTACAGCTGCTGGAGGCGTACAGGTCCTGGAGGGGTGCAGGTCCTGGAGGGGTGCAGGTCCTGGCGGTGGCAGCAGTGTACCAGATGGTGATGGAGGAGGTGAGGATGGACTCAATGATGGCGGTGTAGAAGTGCACCATCATTGTCTTTGGCAGGCTGAACTTCTTCAGCTGCCGCAGGAAGTACATCCTCTGCTGGGCCTTCTTGGTGACGGAGGTGATGTTCAGCTCTCACTGGAGGTCCTGGGAGATGATGGTACCCAGGAAGAGGACTGTGGAGTCACACAGGGTGATGGGGGAGGGTGGGGCTAGGCTCTTTCTGAAGTCCACGACCATCTCCACTGCAGAGTCTGCAGAGCGTTGAACTCCAGGAGGCTCTGGCTGCACCAGGACACCAAATGGTCAATATCCCACCTGTGGGCGGACTCATCCCCGCCGGAGATGAGCCCACTGAGGATGGTGTCTTCTGCAAACTTCAGGAGTGGATGGTCGGGTGGCTGGAGGTGCAGCTGTTGGTGAACAGGGAGAAGAGGGGAAAGAACCCAGACTTGAGGTGAAGCGGTCTTGAGGGTCCTGGAGTCAGAAATATGTTGTCCCAGCTTCACTCACTTCTTCCTTTCAAACAGACCTATTGTAGTCTGAGCTGCTGGATTCTGAGTTGTTGGACACTAAACTGCTGGACCTGGACCTGTTGGACTCTAAACTGTTGGTCTCTGAGCTGCTGGACTGTGATCTGCTGGACTCTGAGCTGTTGGACTGTGATCTGCTGGACTCTGAGCTGTTGGACTCTAAACTGTTGGTCTCTGAGCTGCTGGACTCTAAACTGTTGGTCTCTGAGCTGCTGGACTCTAAACTGTTGGTCTCTGAGCTGCTGGACTCTAAACTGTTGGTCTCTGAGCTGCTGGACTCTAAACTGTTGGTCTCTGAGGAGCTGCTGGACTCTAAACTGTTGGTCTCTGAGCTGCTGGACTCTAAACTGTTGGTCTCTGAGCTGCTGGACTCTAAACTGTAGGTCTCTGAGCTGCTGGACTCTAAACTGTTGGTCTCTGAGCTGCTGGACTCTAAACTGTTGGTCTCTGAGGAGCTGGACTCTAAACTGTTGGTCTCTGAGCTGCTGGACTCTAAACTGTTGGTCTCTGAGCTGCTGGACTCTAAACTGTTGGTCTCTGAGCTGCTGGACTCTAAACTGTTGGTCTCTGAGCTGCTGGACTCTAAACTGTAGGTCTCTGAGCTGCTGGACTCTAAACTGTTGGTCTCTGAGGAGCTGCTGGACTCTAAACTGTTGGTCTCTGAGCTGCTGGACTCTAAACTGTTGGTCTCTGAGCTGCTGGACTCTAAACTGTTGGTCTCTGAGGAGCTGCTGGACTCTAAACTGTTGGTCTCTGAGCTGCTGGACTCTAAACTGTTGGTCTCTGAGCTGCTGGATTCTAAACTGTTGGTCTCTGAGGAGCTGGGGGGAGGGGGTACAGAAGCTCGGAGGGTCAAAAATAATGAGAGAGATTAATTTAATAACAAGACCTTTATAACGACTCATCCAACTCACTGATGACTCCACACTGTGTGTGTTTAAATGTGTGTGTGTTCACTCATTGGAGATTTGAAAAGACAGCCTGAGTAAACCTGTCGTCTCTCATTCCTACCCTTCATTTATCATCACACACACACTGAAAATGTGTGTGTGTGTGTGTGTTGTATTGTTGTGTGTAATCCTTTTTCTGAGCAGAAAAGGGTCAAAACCACAAATTAACTTTCTTCTCATTAATTTAACCAGGATTAGCAGCCAATCAGAAACACACACACACATCCTGTGTGTGTGTGTGTGTGTTCGGGGTTAATGGTGTTGATGTTGAGTTTTAATTGCTTTCCATTCAAAGAAAATCCATTTGATAATATCCCCCGATTTGTTTCTACTGGCCTCTAGTGATGTAAGGCAGCAGCAACTAGCTAACTTTAGCACAGATCTCTGTGTGTCTGATTTTGCTCGTTCATGAGCAATTAAGCAGAAGACAGGAAACGTATTTTGACTCTAAACCATTCAATGCTTTATAAACCAACAGCAGTATTTTGAAATCAACACATCCAATTTGTTGATTTGTTCAATGCTGTTACTCAGCGCTTGTATGGGATCATAGCAGCATCAGTGCTGCCAAACTGCTTCTATAATGACAGAATAAGCAGTGCCACTGACTTAAGGAAATTATCCACTTTTAAAGCGCTACTAAATCCTCCTCCACCTCCACCACCCACAAACCTGTCTGCTGATACCTTTGCTGCCTTCATTAGAAGCAAAGTGGCGGATATAACTAGCCAATTCTCTAAAACACTCAAAAGCAACCATTCTATTCCCACCCTGGTCAGCTCCCACTGTGTGAGGACAAAAAACCTACCATGTAGCAGTCCTTATACATGTCTCCCTCCATCTCCCTAGGGAAATGGCACAAAAGGCTCAAACCAAGGCTAACATGTAGGAGTCCTCTGCCTGCTCTCACAGAGAGCGAAGTATCAGAACTCCTGACCTATAGCCGTCCCACTACATGCCCACTGGACCCGATTCCTACAAATATCCTCCAAGCCATATCTCATGTGATAAATACTTCTCTGGCTTCAGGAACCTTCCCGACCACTTTCAAAAAGGGCTCGGGTTACACCCTTGCTCAAAAGCCCTCACTTGACCCAACTCAAGTTGAGAACTATTGGCCAGAGTCACCATTTTTATCCAAAACTATCGAACGGGCAGTCTTCAAACAGGTCTCAAAATTCCTCTCAGTGAATGACCTCCTAGATCCATATCAGTCTGGTTTTAAGAGTGCCCACTCTACTGAAACAGTAACAGAAGCCCTAAGGTCAGCTAAAGCTGCAGCCCAATCCTCAGTTCTTATCCTGCTTAACTCTTACTTTTTCCCCATGGTATTTACCCCACTGATGTGATATGTGCTATTAGCTCTCACTAGTATTTATTGCTGCTCTTATTAGTATGCATTGTCAGTTGTAGATCTGTATTTGATGCTCTGTTGATGCTTGTACGTTGTTCCTCAAATGTAAGTCACTTTGGATAAAAGCATCTGCCAGATGAGTAAATGTAAATGTGGTCCCCTGGAGATATCGTTATGTAAATCTGTGTGTCATCTGCATAACTATGGTAACATATTTTTTTGTTTTTCATAATCTGAGCCAGTGGAAGCATCTAAATGTTAAACAAAAGAGGCCCCAGAATGGAGCCTTACCACATTTCAAAACCAACCATATTACTTTTTGTTTTACATTTTGCTGTATCTAGCAACACAGTTGGGGCAGGGACACCTGACTGAACCCCATGTTGACGGGGATCATCAGGTCTCCTGGTTCTGCTTCTAGGCATCTCCTCAGTAGCAGACAACCATCGGAGGAGGAGGAGGAGGAGGAGGAGGAGGCGGCACTCCGGAGGTCTGCGATGTAACTGTAGTCTTCTCCACCTTCAATGAGTACAAGCTCCACTTCCTGGACTTTTTGTTGTACACCTTGCTGTACCTGATAATACAGAAAGGAGGATCAGCTTAGTGAAAAGTTTCTAACACCTGACATTGTTCTCTTATAGAGTAATTAGTAAACTATTTCCACATAAAATGAAATCAATAACAATAAATCAGCACCATCTATCTGTATTCCTCATACTGTTTAATATTTTTTGACTCATCACTTATAAATGTATTGAGTAAAATGCACAAGAGTACTCATAATGCAACATACTGAACTGTGTCATCAGCTTTTCTCCTGGCTGGTCTGTGGACACGGTGGTTGTAATCCAGGCCAGCCAGCGTGGTCCGGTCAGTGTGTACTGGTGAGAAGCACGGGTGTTTGAAGACTGCAGGTGACCTTAGGGTGCAGTAGAAATAAAACATACAGGATTTTTTACTTCTGGTAAAATAAGTAATGGCATAACACCAGTTACAGTAAAAGGTTTTCACACAGTCGGTTTAGCTACAAACAATGTCAAACTATATTATATTATAGGTAGCCTATATACCAGGCATACTTTGGAACCTTTAGACACTAACGTTGAAATGTCTTTCTCATAAGTACAAACACACAGCTACATCATTTGTAAAAGAGTAACATACAGTCGCTTGCAGACACAAGATAATCACACAAACAGATTAGATACAAGGTGTAAAGATAGGTGTAAACATAATATAATAAACCGGGATGGTGAATAACTAAACCGGCGCAGTCTACACCTACATTGTCTTACCTAATGTTAGCGTCGGCAGACACAGCTCTCAGCTGTGCTGCTGTTTTCCAGCTCACCTACAGCTAGATATAATTCATTGTCTCTACTCTGGCTCCTACACCAGCCTGCACCCGTAGCTACTGTTAGCTGTATGCTAAGTAGGTAGCTACGTGTGCTAGCGATGAAAGTAACAAACTACCATCAAAATGATAAAAGCCAGATTACCTGTCCAGTAGAAATAAAGCCTCCACGGTGTGTCAGCCCCTTGGTGTTCCTCAGTTGTCAGTCACTATCGTTGAAAAGCCACGCAGATTACCTCCGGTCTGACCGCTTCACAAAAAGTGTTTCAGAAGCAACTTGCCTACCCTGCCTTTAATGACTGCAGTTTTCAGTGCCTGTGGGAAAAAATCTGAGAGGAGAGACATGTTAACAATTTGTAGTAGATCTGAGGCCATGCATTTAGACACATTTTTGAAAATACCTGCAGCATGAGGAGGATTTCAGATGTTGTATTATGTCCTCCAGGTTTTTATGGTAAATAGGATCCAGTTGTGTCATGCTATATGAATTGATTAATTTTTGAATTTGTCTGTGAAGAAAGAAGCAGATTCATTGCAGGCCCTGGTGGATAGAAGTTCAGAGGCTACAGACACAGGAGGGTTGGTTAGCCTGTCGACAGTAGCAAACAGGGCACGTGCATTATTAGTGTTTTTGGTGATGATGTCAGAGAAGAAGGACCACCTTGCATTTCTCAGCTCTAAATTATAAATGCGAAGTCTCTCTTTATAGATGTCATAATGAACCTGGAGATTTGTTTTCCGCCACCCGCGTTCAGCTTTTCGACACTCTCTTTTTTGAGTTCTACCCAGCGTGGCATTTCTCCATGGAGATCTTCTCTTACCAGAGACCACCTTCACCTTGGCTGGTGCAACGGCATCAATAACATTTGTAATTTTAGAACTGAAATTATCTACAAGCTCATTGACTGAGACCTGTGAGAGGGCGGGTGTCGAGGAGCAAGCCTCAATAAATGTTTCACTGGTGTTTTCAGTGATGATGAAGTCCTCTTTAAATACCCCAGTCTGTTGCTTCACAACATCATTGGTCCCGATGTGCAGTATTATGTTTTTCACAGCTGAATGTGATGCCATGATACGCATGATTCTTTCTGCCAAGTCAGGAACCATATCCTTCAGAGTATGTTCGTACTGCACATACTTCTTACATCGTTTACAGCAGAGTCACCCACAATCAGAGTTAGAGGCCCAGTCGTCCCTGCAGCCTTTTACTTTCTGATTTACTCTCGGTCCTTACCCTTCTGTGTGAGGACGGGATGTTATCCAGGTCATCACACGGAGATCCAGGGTCCTGCAATAGTGGTGAAAATCTGTTCTCCTGAACCGGCACCACTAGTGGCCGCTGAAACTACATATAGCTTCTTTAATATTTCTTTTTCTTTCATATGTCGTCGCTCTGAGGCTCCATTACACTAACCTGGCCTGAGTGTGTGTGTGTGTTCAGGCTGATATTAGAAAGGCAGGATGATAATCGCTCACTTGTCACTGTGACAACAGACATGGATCAAATTTAGA